ACATGATGGTAGGATTATGGAATCCGAAAACAGCTCCTCGCTCTTCTTGTACTTGCTTATATACACTTAAAAACTTTCTCTATCCCTTCGCGATATTTTCGTTTTCGACATTATAACTTCATAAATTTTAATTGGTAATTTCGCTTATTTTTTAATTCCCGATTTTATTATGATTTTATTACTCAATTTTTATTTTTATTATTATCGTAGTTTAATTAATTAGAATTTAATGATTTAGTATAATAAGTGTAGAGCGCCGACTTTGAGGCAACACTGATTAATTGATATTATTAAATAAATATAGCGTAAATATTACTTCATTTTTATTCAATAAAACCTTCTTAAAATTGGTTATAAACGAAAGAACGATATTTATTTTGTCGATCCAAAAAAATTCCCAATGTGTTACAAGAAAAAAATAATCTATCTAATCAAGAGGAGTGAGTAACGAAACGAAATGAATCGAATGGTACAAAAAAGTAAGGTTAACATTAACATTTAACGACAAATTTTTGATCGAATTTCATTTTCATATACTATTACTAGCAAATCATTTTTTTTTCTTTATTTTAAAGACCGAATTAGCCTAAAATGCTTATGCAATAAAATACTAACTACCTTATTTTCCCAAGCACAAGGCTAATTTTCTTTGCTATCTTGTGATGACATCAATTTTGATGTGATAAATATATAAAGTCACAATTCTAAATATTTAAAAGAACACGGTCTGCTGATCGATAATTGCGAAATACCCATAACTGATAACAATATGTTTTTTGGAAATTGATTTCGCTTTTTAATTTATATTAATAATAACCATTATCAGTGTTAATACAAAAGTGAAATAGTGATTGCCTTTACATTACAAATTTATTATTATGGGCTTTTTTGTTTTTTAAAAATATGTACTGTATATGTGTGTATATATATACACTGTATATATATATTTTCTCACAATATTGATGAATAGAAAACACTCCATTCATGGATGAAGGAGAGACTGCAAATATCGGAGGTGAATTACCAGGACATCATATTCACCTTCCATTCGAATTCAATTATGCAGACAAACTTGGGCCGTGGGACATACTGCTCAGTGAAAGCACGATCAAGGATATACAGAACATGCTTTTAAATGAAAACGTCGAAGATATGCGGGTAGAGTTGCCTTTCACTATTGAAAGAGTCATGGAAAAACTTAGACAGTTATCTTCCGGGGCGTGGAACAAATACAAACTCAAACTTAAGGTGTCATCTCTCATCATTCCTATCTATGAAGTAGAGGTATCTGATAACGGTCTGAAGATTATCTGGCAAGTTGACTATGGGTTCTCTACCCGTAGCCATTTGTACACACAACATGTAAAGGTTTGGGCAGTCACCGCATGCCAAGAAAATATTAACAATACATTAAAAATCCTCAAAAGTGTTCATAAGATCTACACCTCCGAGTACATTAGTCGGTGTACAATCCAAAAGACAGGTAAAGGCAATGTCGATTTACCGAAATGCTTTGGGGATCAAGAGATAGTAAAGTTCACCGACGAAAAGTTAAGTGACGAAAAACTGCTTGAAGCCCATAAAATACTTGTTACAAATAAATTTATCCCTATATCAAGGGTAAGAATGCATAAATTCGTTATTAAATATAAACATTCAGACTATATCATCTTAAGTAAATAATTTTGTTCGCAGAATTTATTCACATCGCTCATCCTGAGTGGCTCTGACTTCGCATTTCAAGTATCTAAGACCGAGTACGAGATAATTAGCCATCCTACGACGTTGGCGATTGTTTTTGGTCGATCGGGTTAGTTGGTAATGCCATAATTAACTAGGAAAAAAATAGATTGAAGTTTGTTGATTCTATTCTAAATATTAGGGACTGGCAAGACCACTTGCATCGTATTTAGACAGCTCGTTTCATACTTGAGAAACAAACTTTATAGGAACCCATTATCGCATAGTGGCGACGAGGATTTCTCTAAAAGGCAAATTTTTATTACAGTGAACAAAGAACTATGCAAGCGTGTAAAGAAATACTTCAAGAAGCTCCAGAATTCGCTGCTTGCTGGAAAAAATATATCGAAGGTTGAGTTTATTGAGTGGAAGAAGAAGACACGTGATGTTATTATGGAGGAACTTGATGTCAAAATCCCGAACTCGTTCCGTCAGCTGGAAGACCATCATTTCCCATTATTCGTTACTTTCCACAAGTTTTCGAAAATGCTCCAGGGTACCTACGGTATTGACACTCGAATGTTAACCACAAAACAAAATCAAAAGCACGATAAGCTGTGGAAACGCTTTGTTGACTACAATCTTTTCGAAAAGAAGTATTGGAGACATCTCAGTGATTCTTATAGAAAAAATCTGGATTGCGAGCTGGTCTACTCCGAGTTCTCTATTATCAAGGTATGCAAACTGTAATAAACCTTACAGGATAGAATATTCGATTTTGACATTTAAGAGGTTTTTCGATAAATAATATAAAGAGCATGAATATTGAGGTAGACTACCTGTCAAGGGAAGAATACCGGTCCATTAGTACCAGGAAATATCCAGCATTCTGTTACAATCGTGATGAGATTTATGATTTATTTGAGAAATATGAAATGAAGAAGGCGCAGAATTATGACTTTGATTCAATGGATCGGTAAGACTGGACGATAATTTTTTTTTTTTGTTTTAAAATTTATATAGAGTTTTCAAAATCTTTTCGTAGGACTCTAGCCATATTACGCGCAATGAAAACAAGAACATTTGATGGCCCGCACATTCATGAAGTTTACATTGACGAATGTCAGGATAACCAAATTATAGATTACGAGCTTATCTTCAAACTCTTTAACCGCGCTGACAGCATTTATTTGGCCGGAGATGTAGCGCAATGTATTGCTCGGGGGTCTTCTTTCCGATTCCAGGGTGTGTAATATTTGAATAATTAATTATGTTTCAATATCTCTCATCTCTAACTTTATTAAAAATAGACTTATACGCATTAATGTATCAACAAAATCTTAATCGAGTCCAAAACAACCAATACAATTTCTTAAAACCAATAAAGTTTGAACTAAACGTTAACTACCGCTCCCATAACGGGATTCTTCGACTTGCTTCGTCAGTAATCCATCTCATCCAGCACTTCTTCCCTGATTCAATTGACCAACTGTCACCAGAATACGGTGAGATTGACGGACCACAACCTCTCATCTTCGAGGATTGTCAAGCCGAAACCTTTTTCAACACCGGTATTATTGACAAAGACAATAAGGAAGAGGATACCCCTATCGAATTTGGAGCTAGCCAGGTTGTTATTGTACGTGATAAAGCTACCGTAGATCGTGTGAAAGAAATAAATAAAGCTATTAGACCGGTATTTACTGTTTTCGAAGCAAAAGGTTTGGAGTTCAATGACGTGATATTGTATAATTTCTTTACTGACTCGCCCGCACGCTCAAAGGTATGGTTCTATGTATGGTACTTTGCTTTGAAGAAATAAAGTCATTATTGAATTATGTAAGCATACATCATATTTAGTGGCGAGTAATTCTCTCCGTTTTGAATGATTATGATGGGGGAATTCGAACCTTCTCCCATGAGAAGCATTATATCCTTTCTTCGGAGCTTAAACATCTTTATGTCGCAATAACTAGAGCCCGGGAGCGCCTTTTGATTTTTGATGAAGATGCCGAGTTGAGCGAGCCAATCAGAACGTACTGGAAATGTAGGAATCTAGTTAAAGTAGCAAAGGAAAATAACATATCTTCCTTGCTTAAAAAGAGTAGTTCATTAGACTGGAATGACGAAGGACAGACGTTTTATGAGCAACAGAGATATGAACTTGTAAATTCATTTTTAAAAATAATCTGTGCTATTCAATTTTGAATTATTACCTAAATCAAATAATATCCATAGGCTATGTTTTACTTCCAAAAGAGTGGAAACAAGGAAAGAGAAAAACTAGCTTATGCGTATCACCTTCAAAAGGATGCTAGGGATTCCTTCATAATCGGATCTGATAGAAAAATAGTGGAGTCCAAATTCGCTTCCGCCGCTTTGGCCTTTAAAAAATGTAATTTGTTGAAAAAAGCAGCTTCATGCTATGAGGTATAACTCGCGTTCCCTTTTTTTTTAAAAAAAGTTGTGTATTGTCCAAATTTTTGTGTTTTAATTCGATGTAATTCGACTCCAAAATTTCAAAAATAATGCAAACATTCAGGACGTAGACATGTATGAAAAAGCTGGCGATTGTTACGTTGAATTAAATATGATCGAGACCGCTGCGCATTGCTATTTAAAAGGCGAGATGTGGAACAAAGCAGGCAAACATTTTGAAGATATAAAGAAATACGATGATGCAGTTAAAGCCTACAAAAATGGTAGAAGTTATGAAAAGGTAACCGATTTGATTCAGGGGTAAGCTACTTTATAAACATCCTAGCGTTACATCAGTATTTGTAATTTATCATAGAAAGTTATTCGTTAATAATTATAGAATAAAAAATAGCGTAACGCTCGTTTTTTTAAATTATATAATAAGACAGAGACGAGAGATTTCTAAAGAAACAATCCATCAAGTCAACATCCATTTTCGCAATGAAGCAGAAAAATATCGTTTACATGTAAAATTCGAAGAGGCAGCTGATATGCTTAAACGTACGGTTGACAATGAAGGAGACACAATTGAAGCGTTACGGTGCCTATTGTACCAATGTAGAGTTTATATGCTGAAAATGATGATTACAGATCACACAAGCCCAAGTACCCAGAAGGAGATGGATAAGCTTCATTCTAAAGCAACCGAGATCATTACTAAAATTAAATCCAAATCTGAATATTGGAAGAGCCTAATAGATTGGAAAAGTATAATCGAAGAGGATCAGTTATACTCCTCTTATTTAAATGAAGATCTTAATAGAGTTCACAAGTGCATAGAATTTTTCAGTAATCGTGAGGAATTTGTCGTTGAGTTTTTTGCGGTAATCATATGGCTGCAAATGCCATCACCATCCGATATTAAGATCAAATATTGGGACGAGCGGTTACAATGCCTTTTGAGACTATGTAAATTGACTTTTCCTTTTATAGCTCCACAAAAAAATACCGATATTGCTAAGATCTCTAAAGACTTTGAGGAGATATTTTTTTGTTTTGTAAGCAAAAAGAGCCATAATAAACGGAAGATTTCTTTTAACAATCCATTTTATGATATTCTGGACACCAATCATAAAATAAATAAAGCCATGGAGGACTGTTGGAAAGTTTATGACGTGGATGTCGTGCATCAGAAAATTTCTCAGTTCCTTGCTTCGTATATCTATAAGCTCAGCTCGAAAGCAGAACAGGATGGTAGAAACAACCCAGATATAGCTTCAATAATCTACGCATCATCGGATAATTGTCAAATTCAAAATTGCCGAATGCATCACGCAATTCCGACATCATTACCACAACTCCTGAAACTTGTGAGACTCCAATACAAAGTGGTGCGAAGGTTGGATGTATTATATCATTATGGACTTCTTAGAGAGGAGAAAAGTAAAGAATTTCTTGGTTCACAAAAGTGGTGGGCTGAAAAGTTGGTTAAATGTCATATAATCTTTCAATCACCGCAGAAAAACTGCCCGGAGGTTACTAGTCTTATAAATGACGCAAACAATATTTGGTTATTCAATGAATCTAAGAGTGTTGGCGACTTTGAAGTTTTGTTAAAGTCTATGTTTTTTATTCAGCGGATGATGAACAAAAAGGCCATTGGGGAGCTCCATCGGGAAATGTCGAAAACAAAAATGATATCACGCCCTAACGATCTACCCGTTGGTTTTGAATATTACTGTGGAAATTTTCAAGTGATTCCGGTTGGAAGGCATCTCTCGCTATTTTTCTCGTTTCTTCACAATAATAAAGTGATCTCCGCGATCATAAGCTCAACAGCGTTTATTCGTTATGCCATAAAAAATATTAAAAAAGTCAATCTGTCTTCTTCCGATGCTCTCGATGAACTTACGTCTCTCATGGAATTTACAACGTCTTTAATTTTTGCAGTCGGTCAAGAGTATTGCGATATTTGTCTTCCTCGAGCTTATCTAATTAATTACTTTGAAGCATTTACCGCGAAACCACTCATTCCGGGTCGATATATTTATAGCGAAAAGAACTATCTGTATACAATCAATAATTCACTCGTTCAAGTTCAACGACTTCTCAACCTGCTATTTGGTAAGGAACAGGTTAAAGTGACGATTATTCTTCGATTGATAAGGCTTATGATACTTATCGGTCTAAACGAACCCACTGTTGCGCAGAAGATTCTTGGTCTTTTCAACTCTTATAGTAAATACAACTTTTCTATAAAATTTAAGAAATACCTAGAAGAGAACAATTTTAAATGTCTTGTGACCATACTGCATAATGACCTCAGAGAGATACGTTGTGACTCTTTGGTTATCGTTCGTCACCAAAATGTAAGCACATCAAAATTTGCTTGCTTCGAAAAATATGGCATCAAATACCTTACATACAGCACAATTGAGGAATTTCGTTCTTTCCTTCGGAAGTTCGGTTGATGATTTTGATTGTTCTATTAATTGATTCAAGTCCTGTAACATGTTTTAAAATTTCATCATAGAACTTAAACACCAAATTCTTTGAGACCATTCTTATATTATCATTTTTTCATTAATAAATATCGGTTTTTTTTTTGACTACTATATTGTCTTTTTTTTTATTACGGTACGGTTAAATTTGTTAATTCGATACGATCCAAGATGCGATTCTACTGCAAACTATAGATCCTGGCAAAATTCATTTTAACAAAATGGCAAAAGTCGAAACTTATATTTCGACGAATTTGTTAAAACTTTAATATAGTTTTGACTTTTGACGGGATTTATTATGGTTTCGAGTTTCGACGGTTTTGCCAATAAGATTTTATTATAGTTTTCCCTATAAAAAAATTTTTCCGTGATTTAAAATTCCATAAATGTATCATATTCCTGGAACTTATAGTCTAAAAACATGGAAATTATCCTGAGTTACTTAGATTTTTAGTTATTTTTCCGTGAATGTATCAGATTAACGGAATTTTTCAGAAATCACGGATAAAATTTTTTATAGGGTTTGCCAATGACCCCGTAGAAACCCGAGAGTTTTTCCATGCAACTAACTATACTGTCAAACAAATTCTTTGCTATTATTATTCTCCGCTAAATGTCCTCTAAAGTTGGTGATTACAGGTACTTAGTTTCCTACTTTTTGATTTGCTCCAACGGTTTTTTTATACTAGTTTTAGTCTACATAAAAAAATATTTAGATAAATTCAATTTTTTCATTATTTTTTTCCAATATAAAAATCTTATTGGCAAAACCGTCGAAACTCGAACCCAGAATAAAGTCGTGTCAAAAGTCAAAAACTATATACAAGTCTTATTAACAAATCCATCAAAATTATAGGGTTTCGACTTTGCCATTTGTTAAAATGAGTTTTACCAATATAATCTCGAAAAAACGTGAATAAAAGCCTAAGGGTTTGAGTATTGTTAACTTTTAAACTAGTGTGAATGTAGAACCATTTGATGCAAGTTATAGACAGATATACAAAAATCCTGCTGATGCTTCTTGACAAATTTATTTTGGCAAGTAAAGATCCTTTTAATCATGATTTGAATAGAGCCTATAGCTTTTTATTAAATATAACATGACAGAAGACTATGCGAAAATTTGCAAGTGATTAGTTTCTCTTAATATAATTTTGAATACAGTCCCCGTCAAAAGTAATGGCGGTTGGGGACATTGCTTCTTGTGTAGACCACAGCAACTCCGTTATTCCAATTTGACTCATTGTTTATTAGACCAAATTGGATAATGGAATTTTTATATAAAATAAACAATAAAAAAAATAAATTAAACCCATTTGAACTTTTTATTACTCACCGAAATCACAA